GCCACACGTTAGTCCGACTCCTTTAAATATTTTAGAAACTCTTTTGAATCTCTAATGAGAATCTCGAAGGTCTTTATAAACAAATGCAATTGATGAATTAATCACTCTGGGATCTTATAATTGGGTGCATCAGTTGAGGACAACGACTGGTCGGTCGTTGTCGTTCATGTAAGCAGCATTCGGCTCCGCGGGAACATCGGTGAGAAAGTGTTCAGCTTTAACCACATGGCCCCTGATCCCCAACTCCCCCGTTTTCCTTGAACGCTGACTCTCGGTCTCGCATGCTTGCTTGCTTTATTGCCCTATGTTACTACGATCGTCCGCTTTCTCGCCTTCCGGATAAGTGGGTTCCGCGGCTGTGGTGACGATCGCACCTTCGCCAGATCCAGGCTGTAATGCAGCTGCGTTTGTGTTCCCCATGGACCCGGTCTTATTTGGGTTATTATCTTCTCGTAACCCGCGTTTGCTCTTCTGCTCTCTGAACTGAGTACGGAGGGCCTGGTAGGCTTTGCGAAGCGCTACACAGCGATTGATGGAGTTCGTGCCGGTGTACCTGGCCTCAATTGTTTCCCTGATCGCGAGATCATTTCCTCGGCCCAGGATTTCGGCATTCTGGAAGGCGAAGGCGCGTCCAGAATTTGTGCAGTGTTTTGCCACTAGGGACAATGGGTATATCCTCATTACAGCCCTCATGTGTTCTGCAACACGGGTCTGGAGTCGTTTACCGGTCTCTCCAGTGTATCTCATTTCACAGCAGCTGCATTGGACCCGACTAATCACGTTTGTTATTTCACCGAGTGGCAGTAGGGTCTTAGATATCATGACGAGATTTCGAATTGTTGACTCTGGCCGATGGAAAATGCCAATCCTCGGTGGTCTTAGGAGACGGAGGACGCCACAGCGACCCTGTCATTTTAAGGAAGCACTCGCCAGAATTTTCGCCTTTCTGTCACTCAGCTTCGACTTGGCAAAGGCTGCTCGCTGCGTTCTACAAAACTTCGAGGATACCCGTTCGTCATGAAAAGGCTCTGAATGTAGCGTAGTTCCGACCTTTTGCCGTCTGGCTCGCTGCAGTGTGTTTATGCCCTTTTGTATAGTGCGCGTACACAGCTGCGTTTGTGGGACAACGCGTGCTTGCCATGGTATCTCAGAATTCTGCGCGTACTGGCGGCCTTTCTACACACCGTTGTTTTCAGGTGTCGATTGGATTTCAGGTGAACCAGTACGTAGAGGGGCGGCAGTTGGCTGTTACTTTCGGCCTCCATTGTGAATTGAATATCAGGCGAAACCGAATGCATAACATTGCGAAATGTTCAAACCATTTCCCGCTTGATAATGAAAAGGCATGTTGACATATAGAGTCCAGAATTTTGGTAATTATTAGTTTACTCTGATCTAAAATTCTTGGCGAGCAATTCTGTGATTAATTTCTCTTCCATAGGACGTTTCAGATTATTCTCAATGCATAACTTCTGTCATTTTTCTGAACCGGCGTTTAGAATTTCGCATGTTTAACCGTATTTTTTAAGCGACCGCCTTTTCTGGGTGGTCTGTGGTGGTTTTCTCACCTCATTTGTCTGCAGGCAGAGTGATAATGCCATTGTCCTGCCTCACTGAATTTATATCTTACGTTTCATTGTACGTTAGCGTTGAGGACTTTTTGTGTTCTTTAGTATCTATGAGGTACTACTATGAGTAATTAATTGATCCTTTTCTGTGAGATGTGCTTATGATATGGTGAATTTGAGGTTAGCAAAAAGTCCAGGTAATCGGAATCGAACGAACTGTACTTCATTCCTTTGTAAAGCATTTTCGCCCTGTTTCTACCAGAAGTCCTATGGGTAAGTTTATAACCTTCGTTGGGCGTGTAGCATTTTGCAACTTTTACCCGAATTCTGGTTGTTGCTCTTAATGAGTTTCGCCACCCTCTATATCCGCCCCGTCCGCCGCCCACCTATGATACATTTCCCATCCACGTCTCCCTTATAACCACGGTCTATGTGCCTTAAGGTTAAAATGTCGAATACCTTTTGTGGAATAGTTGTCACTTAGTAAATTAATGACCAAAGCCTCATACCGCCATCCGCATACGAAAACTTCCCTTCTCTAGATTTCTGCCACGCCTTTCCCGTTTAATCAGATTAAACAACGTAAAGGGTAAGGTGGAAATGTTATGCTTTGAGGAAGTCCGCGTGTGCTGATTACGTACTGGAGTTCAGTTTTAACATCCAGCGAACCTCAACAACGTTCAGTTGTTTGAAGGCATCAGTAATCTTAATAGATTGTGAGAGTCCTTTATTTGATACGTATCCACCAACCAATCAGACGCTCCTTGGTTTTTGGATTTCTGGATCGCCCCTTATAATGTCGATGGCCACGAACCTTCCTGACGGGGCTGCTTCTAAAAGGGTACTTTTCATACATGAGTGTGTTCTCTTTATACCTACTTTCGACCCCCTAGTTGAATATCCGATATGACATTTGCGTTTTTCTCCACCACAAACTATTGAACTAGGCAAAATCCGCACCCATGGACATATGTCCATCCTTCGTAGACGCTAGCATTCTTGACTCGCCCAACGAAGACTCTTACGTATGTATCGCAAATAGCACATGCAACACAAACACGCGTACGGTTCATTCGAGTTCTGCTTCTTCCAAAACCATACTTAACCGGCGATTGAAAAAATGCGCATAAAGTGTCTTCCAGTTCCAACGGTGTATCCTAGTTGCAAAAACGATATTTAAGCGTAACCTCGATGCGAGGGAAAATGGGCCACCGTTCCACTCGTACAGCGCGCCGATACCGCATTGACGTCGAGTCGATGCTGGAATGTCGGGATATATCTTATAGATGCATCATCGGAGATATATCCTCGATTTACGTCAAAGACGAGAGCTGTCTTTGGCTAACTTAACAACTATCTCCTCGTCCCCTGAAGACGCCTTTTTCCATCAGTGCCTGAAGTTGATTCTGCACTCCGTCGTGAACCCGCTCGCCGCCACACACTCACTCTACATTGCCCTTTAAAGCACTCAAGGGTCTACAAGCAACTGCAGATCGACCAGCTTAATTATCTCCAGAAGACTGCAGAGGCGAGAGTGCGCAGTCTGCAATTCACACGTACGCAACCTTCATCGTACATTTCTGTGCAGTGACAGTGCCTCACCTGGGCTGTTGTTGTTCGCTCATATGACGTTCCTCTGGTTAACCAGATGTCCATGACGCCGTCCATCCAATTTTCTTGGAGTTGAAGTCAAACGAGCCATGATATAACGAGTCCATGTGCCTTTCGGGGATTTTCATATTGACCCAACTGTGAAAAACTCGGCGCCTCGGTGGGATTCGAACCCACGCAGTAAGGAGAAGGCTTTAGTACAGCCAACGCTCTAACCATTTGAGCTACGAGGCTCCACCGAACGACTCGAGTTTAAATTTGGGTAAATTTAACTCAAATGTGATTGAACTCGAGTTGTCTGGCAAAGCATCGTAGCTCAAAAGGTTAGAGCGTTGGCTGTATTAGAGCCTTCTCCTTACTCCGTGGGTTCGAATCCAACCAAGACGCCGAGTTTTTCACAGTTAAGTCAATATGAATTATTCAAAATCTGCGAAAATACCTATGAATTTCGGAGAGTTATTTCTTTCGACAGATGCCTCTTCGACTGTTTGTCTAAGCATTTTTAACAGAACATCAAAATACTATAGTCCAAAAAGTTAACCGTAAAATTAAAAGGACAGTAAGGTTATCGCGCGCCTCGCTAAGGGCGGTGACCAAGTCATACTTAGGTGGCGTAATTAGGTTAACCAAAGACAAGTACAGGCATTCTTATCCTGAGAAGACGCGGTGAAAGTACACCGACACTATCTCAACTGCTACTAGGGCACCAAATTCTTAACCGTGGTGGGACTTCTCAACCGGAGACGTGATACTGGCAAATGGTCGAACTCGTCTCTTGTAGATTAGTCAGGTCTTGGACAGCATATTATCTACCAGTATCGAAAATAATCCAACGCAGTAGACGAACATGTGAAATCTGAACTCGATGTCGTTCGTGCTTACTACTACAAAAGCTCTTTAATTGTCATGGTCTCACTCCCACCTCTAAGTTTACGCCTTTTGTACCGCCTTCTCTCCCTCCTTCCATTTCCTGAAATAACAGTATCTCTGCCTTCTCTTCGGTAGCCCCTGAACCCGCCGTTCATCTTCATTGCCGTAGCTACGTTTACAAGCTAAAAGTACAGCTCTGTTGCCATAGATTTCACATGTGGATTCGCGAGTTTGACTGCTTACTCCAACTCAGTTATCTAGCGATTCATGAGATTGATTAGATAAGGAGGCAGTTAGAGCATTCATATTCAGAGTATTCAAGGAACGTCCTAATTGTATTAAGAAGCAAAATATCCGAAAAAAGAACGAGCCTTATTTTTGATGCAACCGCTTACCTTCATTTTCTTTTCTCTTTTCGACGCCCCAGTGTTTGTGCATTTTACAAAATTATCTGTGAAGATTTGTCTGCTTGAGAGACTGTCTTGCCCAGAAGGTATAATCTATTTCATTTGTTTTTGGTGCTGTCAAGACTCGTCACTCCTCCGAAGCTTCAACGAGATCTTCCTCCGTCTCCAGCCGGCTGCATGCAGGGGTGCCTTTTCAGGGCACAAGAATGGTTAGTGTGTTAATAGGTATTCCGCCCCACCGTTCTGTGTTTAGATTTTATCTTTTGTCCCCGTTTTCTTTAGTGTTCATTTTGCCGACTTCAATTGTCTCCTTCCCTATTTTATGATTTCAATCATCTCAATAATCCAAGACTACAGGTACTCAGACTGGAGGCCGGCTTTTCCGTCTTGTTTGCGCAAGCCGGTAGAAGATGCAGGATGAGTAATCCGTGACGCGGATCTAGCCTACAAACGTGCCCACCTAGACAGAGCTGGGCGAACAATGCCCCGTCGTCAGCCGAGCATTTTTTCCCGGCAGTGTGTCTACTTGTGCTTAGTAGTTTTTTTTGCCAGTATCGTCCTTAACTGTTCCTCCATAACTGGAGGTATTCGACTCCCGTTGCCTGAAGACCATTCATAGAGGGAGCTACACAGATTTTTCTCGGATGAGGCAGCATGGACTCGTTTCAGTTGCATTTTGAGGATACCTCCGGTTATCCAAAAAAGCTGGCTTAGGTGATTTGGCCACGTTCTTTGTCATGCTCATTGCTAGCCCTCTGTTGCTGCGTTCAATTTAGCGCCTATACCCAGCCGGAAGCATTGACGAGGTCTAAAAAAGGGTGATCTGACTAATTCCACCAGAACATGGTGATGATTTTTGGACTTTCGATTTTCGGTCTCCGTCGCGGCAGGAAAGAATGCATTGGGCTGTACAGATCTAGCATAATCACGGACATACCAAGGGAATGTATTTTTTAAGGGTAATGGGCTGGAAAGCGTGCCCCAAGCAAGTACTGGTTCATGCCGTCCACACAGTTGGCCGTGGCAGATGGATAAAGAAAGAAACGGACAAAAAGTGTCCTCATCCTTTTCCCATTTCACCAGAATAACTCCACCCACTCTGACAGGCTGTAATGCCCGTTTTCTTTTGAATGACTCAATAGGTGGTCTGTCATAGAGAGGAATAGTTCTGATCGACCGAGAACTGTCTCGACACAAGATGGGAACCGTGGCCACCCAGCGAGAATTGCTTCTCCGCAACGGGACAGTTGACTGAATTATGGGCAAGACAATCTGAAACGGCCATTATAAAAATCCACGTCGAAGTGCTAGGGTCACCATCAGAACCGAACTCGCCACAAACTCACCTTTTCTCTTTCTCACATCATAGACGATCGCCCCATCATAATACAGTTCCCATGCTTCAGCAAGAAAGTTGAGAGAGAGCATACACTCAAACTACGCCACATCCTGACGTTCGCTCAGGTTCAGCGCGCCCTCTGGTGTGTGCAGAATGTGAGCAGACTTTTGTGTGCGAACAGCCGCAGGCCACGCTATCTGGCAGGGATTTCTTGGTCGTCGTAGAGCAGGAAACCGCAAAATCACCGAGGACGGTTCCCCCATCATCAACACAGTTCTTTGCCGGTGACACTAAGAACTCCGTCACGACCCGCAGTCAACCCGTACTTCCAGTCATCTAAACAGAAGTAAGTCTACTGAGGGCGAAGTCAGAGATTCTGGCACATTTAGCCGAGGACTTTAGGTGCACATATGGCGGAACTTACTGCATTGTTACAGACGATGTGGAAACAGGGACGACGCCCATAAGACTCAACAGTTGCTCTCCTATACAAACGCGAAGGAAGCTGACCAATCGGATACAATCCTTGGGTGGTCCGCCTCCCCAATGTTGCTAGCAAAGTCTTTGCTCGCTTTCTCCTTAATCGCATGAGTACCCCTGGGGCAATGACTTCTTTCAGGGACTTAATGTGGATTCCGGAGGCAGTGTGCAATAACTGACACTATATTTATAGCAAAACAATTACTGGAAAAAGGCCAGGAAATGAGGTTCAAACTCGGCTTTAACTTCGCAGGTCTCACAAGGCTGTTGGACACTGTGAGCGAGCATAATGATCCTTTGAAAATATTGTTGGGGCATACATGTCCGGAATGTTTATGCTGACGTTCAGACAAATCTGCGGCAGCGTGATGGCGTGCACCATCTCGGGGACCTCCTTCTCGCCAATAATTTTGCACCGGACATCGCCTTTGGAGAAGGCATGTGGCAAAACCTGGACCTCTTCGCCCCCAAATTCACTAACTTCGAGTCATTTACATATTTACTAGCACCCTCAGTCATTGCCAGCGTCAATTATCGCACCTCCTCGGGAAAGTTCGTGTTTCCTGGCAGCATTACCCCAAAAAACAAAAATAGACAATGGTATTGCATTCTGAACCTCGAAAACCAGCCAGGCCTTCGACCGGTCTCAACCCTACGCATGGTATCGACGGGGAATTCTCCCAATGCTAAATTGAAGACATGCAAGACTGTAGTCCTTACACCGAATCGTTACGACGCGGAGACACCGACAGGCTATCAAGATCCCACTCAATTGTCTTGGAATCGTTCGACGAAGACCTTGCGCAGGACTGCCAGGAAGGACGAATTACAGCGAAGAATGGTGCGTCAATCTTCGAAGCCAACTAAATACAGGAGACCAAGATGGAGTGCCAGGATGCAAAACGAAGAACAACGTTACCAATGAACAACTTCCTACGCGTCAACACTGTCAATGCACAGCTATGGTCAGGATTGGTCTCGTGAGACGTCTATTGCGCGTATCGCAGCACAACCACCAACGACATCGACACCACGCCATGGAGCATTGACAACGCGGCCCGGATGCTCAGCGCGCCAGATTCGTCCCTGCGGGACATCTTTCCGTCAACATCTGCGTATGCGGCGTTTTACCGCGGGTTTTCTTTCATTTGTGTACGGCCCAGTAGGCCCATGTGTTGTATTTGAATATGAGCCGGCAGTGCGGGCAGTTAGGGCGGGGCTGCGGGTCGACGTTGGTGCTACTGGCACTGGCGCTCCAGCGCTGGTCTCTGTGCGACGGGTCCGCAAGTGACCGACCAGTCCGATGCGTGATGCGCATGTGCGGTGGCAATGTGAGCAAGATCGGGTTGGCAACGGCTTAGTCGGTTGCGGTGTCGATGCTGCTAGCGTTCCCCGCGATGGTGGAGGGAGAGTTTGTGCCTCCAGGCTCTCCTTGCTGCCTGCTCATAAACCTGCCCAGCCTGCCGGTCATCCAGCTTGACCGCTCACTCGCATTTGCTGTTTCCTGCCGCAACACTAATCTCCATCCACCCCACAGTGGGAGCTCGTGGAACTGTTATCATGCACCTTCTTACTTCCTTTAACACGTACCGACAATGACCTAGTTTCATCACGTAAACTACAACCGATGTATGTGGTGAGGATTGTCTTTAGTCAAATACGACAGGCTATGAGTGAATCGCGTTCCGGAGGATCGACCTACGTCCGTCATTTTGTGTCAACGGCAGGCATAATCTCGGAGGAAATCGAGTACAGGGACTACAATCTGATGTTCACGACCTATACCTTCTACCCACCAGAAAACACTTTCCCCTCTACCACAAATTCGAACAACATACTGGGTCTGCCAGTCTGGCTCCACCAGTTTTGACTACTGCGTTTTCCACCGCCTGTAAGACGATTGATGATAAAAGTTTTGCCCTCCATGCCCTTCCACCTGTAATCCCGATCGACTGCGCTGCTCATGGGCCAACTGTGTCAATTGCTCCGTATCGCACTGTCACCAACACTACCTATCAGTCAGATTTCTCCCTCTGACTTCTCCTTTCTGTTTCTGCCATTCATTGCAGCGACCAGGTCGGCCAGCAGTCCCTTCCCGGTCGGCAACTACTGTACCAAATACGCCCGCCTCTCAGGCGGATGTCCGTGTTCAGGGCTCCGTGGTGGTAAGTCCCGCAGTATATGCGCCTCTTACGCGCCCTCTGGCTCCTCCCCACCCCCACACTTTTATCTTCTTAAGGAAAAGTGTATGCACAGGGACTAGGATGCCTCGAGCAACTGTTTTTGACTGATTTTTCCTTGTTATCGTCGGCTAGCTAGCCGAACAACAACAACAACAACAACAACAACAACAGAATTCAAGCTCAGACCCTCGTTTAGCCGAACACTGCGGGCTCACACCCCACAGATTGCGAGCGAGAATGTTCAAAGCCACACGACAAACGCCATCCACCTGGCTGTCGCCACTGCAGCAGTAAATTAGAGTATTACGTTTGTCTCGGGATCCCGTGGGCGTAGATGCAGAGCGACGTTCACCCAGTAATCGAGGCCTAAGATGATGAGGGTGGTTACATCCGCCGTATTTACCATCATTGGCCAGCCATAGTTCAAGCTCTAAGGTACAGAGCTCGAATCCTTGGTAGCCGCCTGTTGATACAAATGCATTACGAATAGTAACTCTATAGTGTCGTGATTGCAATAACTTGCTGATAAGTCCCACAGTTGCGAGTATTTTTACCCTGTCTGTTGGCGCAAGCTCAGATATTTTAAATATCTTTTTTTCGTTGTCCCCCTTCCATGCCTCGAGCATATATCCAGTTACCTATTAACCATTTCAGCGGCCACGTCGTTCAGCAGCTCCTTCTAAGTCGGCAACTACCGTATCGAATACTCCCTCCTCGCAAGCGGATGTCCGTGTTCAAGCCCCCACGATGGTAGGTGCTGCAGTAGGTCACTTTTTATCACACGCCGTTCGGTCATATTTGTCCGTTCTTCATTTCATACGCATCTTCTGTTACTTCTTTTCATTTTTAATTTATGCAGTGTTTTTATACTGAACCATTGTATCCTGATCAGTGGTTTTCTTAGGCTTCCGGACTTCGAACTCTGTCTCACAACTAACTGCAGTTGGAGATAGGATTTAGTACTGTATGCAATAAGGAGTATGAATAAAGACAAGGGAAGCTGGGCTGGCTGTTTCTGGCTTGTTAGCCGTCGTCAGCCAGGCGCGCCCGGCCCCATATTTAGGCAACCTGTGAACTTGTAAGCTAAGGTAAGACAATCGTCCCACGCTGATCTGATGAAGTCGCTAAATAGACAACCCGTAGACGAATCGTTTCCAGTAAATCCAGATGACTACATTGTCAACATGTCGAATTTGAAACTGACTAACCTGCAAGCCGAGGCCCTCTCTTTAGGACTTAAGTTTTGTGTGCCGAGAAGAAAAATAGATCCGACGGAGATTGAGGCTCAATTTGAAGACCTATATCACCAATTATCGGAATTAACACCGACGTCAGAGGACAATGTGAGATGGTTGAAAGCGAAATTCGTAGATATCGCCTATCAATGCAGAACTTTCCCGACTACGTAACGCTCACTGCTAACTAAACAACACATCTCGGCCCTAACTGATCTACGTAAGACTACTGAAGTCGTCATCTCAAGACCTGACAAAGGAAGCGGTGTCGTGGTCCTAAACAAGACTGATTACGTGAGAAAGATGGAAGCGATATTGAGTGACTCCAGCAAATTTTCCTCGGAAGCCCATGAGAAAGAAGAAACAAAAGCGCTAGAAGACCTTATCGGAAAAAGGCTTAAATTGTTAATTGAAAAGCAAATAATAGACGAGAACTTAGCTTCGTGTCTTAGGCCTGTAGGGTCGCATATTCCTAGACTATATGGACTGCCAAAATTGCACAAACAAGGGGTACCATTACGACCGATTCTATCACCTCAACATAAACTTGCCCAATGGTTAGTGCAGCAAATCGAACCAATCAGACGCAACCTTGCCGTTTATACTACCAAAGATACTTTCTCCTTCGTAGATGAGCTTAAGCATAACAATCTACTGAATAAACACATGATCTCGCTTGACGTGCAGAGCCTGTTTACAAACGTGCCACTGGATGAAACAATTGACATAATTTGTGAGCATGCGGGTGAAACACACCTGCCACCAGAGCAACTGCGGGAACTACTACAGATATGCACAAAGAATGTACAGTTCTTGTTCAACGGGCGGCTGTATCGACAGATCGACGGTGTAGCTATGGGCAGTCCATTGGGGCCAGTCCTAGCGGACATGTTTATGTCTAATCTAAAGCGAAAACTAGCTCGGAACTTACAATGAGCCTCATTCTATAGGCGATATGTGGATGACATTTTCGCTATAGTCAAAAACCCAGGCGACGGAGAACTACTACTCAAGACTCTGAACAAAGCACATGCAAAGATCAAATTTACTGTCGAGCATGAGAAGAATGACACACTGCCTTTCCTGGATATTCTTGTACGTAGGCGGGCAGATGGCTCTATTCAGAGATCCATCTATCGAAAACCCACCTGGAAAGGACAACACATTCACTTCCTCAGTTTCGTTCTACTTCAGAGAAAACGGAACTTGGTTTTGTACCTGTTCAATAGAGCCACCAGAATCTGCTCCTCAGATACGATCGATGACGAGCTTACTTTCCTAAAGAACGTTTTTCTTGCAAACGGGCATCCGGAGAAATTCATCGATAAATATCGCCATCCCAGACAAGAAACTCCTGAAGAAATATCTGTACCTAAAAAGTCCGTGACCATCTACCTCCCCTTCAAGGGTGATAACGTGTCGAACGTGATCAAACGACGACTTCAGTGCACTATCGAAAGGACGTATGCCGCCTCTAAATTGTTGTTCATAAGCACCACAACCGCCATCCCAGTTAGACCAGCTATAGACATTTTGCCTATGCACGCCACATCAAACTGTATTTACGGGTTTACATGTAGTTGCGGATGCAAGTACATCGGGCGCACGCAAAGGCAATTGGCAGTTCGATCTGCTGAACACATGCCGAAGTGGCTGCTTAGGGCTGAAAATAAGGTACCCAGGAGCTCAATCACAAAGGCGGACGACCGGGCCTCTCTTGCGCTTTGCAGAGGCCGCTGCAATACGGAGGAGGAAAGCAGAACTCTGTGAGCAGCTGGACCATGTGATAAACCTGGCACTGCCATGGTAATTATCGATTATGGACGAAACCCTGTTCCCATGTCCGCCCTCTCATTTCGCCCCCACCCGCCCCCCTCTCCCCGGCATGACTGAATGCTCCCCGCACGTTGCACTCTAAATCACACCGCACAAGTTCTCTCATACTTCTCTCCTCCTCCCCACCCCTTGCCATATGCACCCGCATACTAGACCTATGTTTCAGGTTACCTGTCACGTTTTATCTCTCTAGGTCGATCGTTGATTGAACAGGTTGTCTTGTCATATAACTATGCAATGACCGTGTGCAGCTGAATGAGAGGCCTCGAAATTTATGACGTCAGTAAATTCTACATGCTTCGTCGCCTTTGCCTTGTTCAAATTTATCCCGGGAAAACATTGCTTCAACCTGTGATATCCTTTGTCCACAGTCTTTCATGCGTATATTACTGTTCGCTACGAGACTGCCCTCAGTGGCTCTAAATTCAGCTCCAGGGGTCAACGGGATGAGAATGTCACATATTCCGATCGATGAACGTTTTCCCCACGATAGAACATTTGGTGGTTTCCTAGTTGTCCAGGGGAGCCAGTTCCTTTTGTCACCTGATCACTTTTTTGCTTCTCATTCAGCAGCAACTTGTTTATTTTAGCGACGACGTCGATCTGAGGTGCCAGTCAAATCGTCCGCCAGCGTAGCAAACACGCCCCTCGCCCAGAGAGGCGTCCGTTTCCGCGCCTCCATGACAGTAAGTGGGGTTGGGCCATTCTTCGCTTCTTGCCTTTGCTTCATAAGTTAGCACTTACGTTTGGAAACTTTCGCCTTCCTTTCTGTGCTCCTAACTTTCTGAGCCTAGCCTACCGAGAAGGATGCCAAAAACGATAACTACAGTGAGTGACCGATCTCATGAAATGTTGACCGAAATTCTGAAATGCGTTTTCAATTAGGAAGGATAACTTAGGTACGATTACAATATTGATTCCCATGATTATCATCCTATAATGTTTCGGACTCGCCAGGATGTCGGCTTTCGAATGCATTTCTTTTTGATCTCCTGTGGAAACCGCACTCGGTGAGAAGTGACTACTTAATTAGCATGCATTTTCACATTGATTTTTGATGGTCATATAAATTCAAATTTAGTTCACAGAAAACACACATAAAAATATGCTTTCTTCAACTCGATCGGTAGAGAGTCACGTTGTCTTTACATTTCATACCCGAAGAATTGGTGTATTAAGATTTTGAAAAAGTTTCTAATTGTGAGATTTTTAAGACCGTGCAATGTCCATTCATACAGCATCGCACATGACCCTTTGCCAATGCTTCTAGTGAAATGTAGAACATAGTCCGCATCAATTGCAATATCTTATGAACTCTACATTGTATCTTTTTAAAGGAATAAAGGAATGTGTGTTTCTCCTTACGCCGACAGAAAGCAAGTTGTAGACTGAAATCGCTAAAAGCTAGTGCAACGGCTGATCAGGCTCAAAATTATTGGGGCATTGAGAAACTTTTTCAAAATCTTAATACACCAATTCTTCGGGTATGAAATGTAAAGACAACGTGACTCTCTACCGATCGAGTTGAAGAAAGTATATTTTTATGTGTGTTTTCTGTGAACTAAATTTGAATTTATATGACCATCAAAAATCAATGTGAAAATGCATGCCAATTAAGTAGTCATTTCTCGCCGAGTGCGGTTTCCACAGGAGATCAAAAAGAAATGCATTCGAAAGCCGACATCTTGGCGAGTCCGAAACATTATAGGATGATAATCATGAGAATCAATATTGTAACCGTACCTAAGTTATCCTTCCTAATCGAAAACGCATTTCAGAATTTCGGTCAACATTTCATGAAATCGGCCACTCACTGTATATGACGAGGGTAATTAGTTTCTGTAGGTCGGCAGAGATCACAGCTGCCTTCGCAGGGCGTCTATGGTGATTGGCACCCAATTTTCATTTAAGCCAAGTAGATCACCAAGTCGGAATTCGCCTGCGCGTGTGTTCTATGCAGAACAGAGATCTGTTGCAGGTTACACAACAGCATTGCTCATGATTGCGTTCACGACGTTACATGAATCTACGAGTTTTGTGCATGAACGTTTTGACCACACTCCCAACCCGGGCACTGGTTAGATGCACGCGCGGGTTGACTTAAGTGAGCTCAAAGCTTGCACAGGCATTTGGGTTGGACAGATCAACTGCAAGATCACAAATAACTTAAAAGAGAAGGCTGAGCATGGGAAAAGGTACCTCCACAGGTGTCTTTGCGCTGAATATTGCGGGTGCCTTTCCCCGCGTCCTAACTCTAACCCTTGGACTACTCCTCCTAACGCCAACTCCAGCCAGGAACACTGGACGATTCACTGGTGAGACGCTGCTGTCGCAGAATGGCAGCGAACCGTGTGTTTGGGCTTTCATTTGATACCGTTTTGGGGAGTATTGCGAAACAAATTTATCTGCAGGGTGCATATTATTGACGTTTTGACAGTATGGTCTTCCCGCCTAACTTGATTGAACTTTCGGATCCAACCTAACGAGTCCTGAGTCAACTGCAAAATCGAACATCATTTGTGGCCGAATCAAAATGCCCACAAGGCATTTTCCTCACCTCGCCCCCCTTCGCCGTCACTGTAGTCTGCACTAGGTAATTCCCTAACTGGCGAGGTTATGTAGGACCAAGCCTGGAGAGTAGTGGGTCGCATGTGACACCTGGGGTTTACCTTGCAGAGCTTGAAGTTCCCGGCTTCAGCGGCAGCCCTGCCTGAAATAGCAGTAAGCGATGATCAGTCGGACACCGACCCGCCCGGATCATTCAAAACGCCAAATCTATGATGAACGATCTTCAGGTAAATAAAAATACAAAAAAGTCTTAAAAATACAGTAGAAATAACGGCTTCCGTAAAACGAGCGAAAATGCTGAAAACACAGAAATTCATGCCAAACGAGTTGTGCATATCAATGCAAACAGGCGGGTAAATAAGACGGCATACACAAAACCACGTTAAAGATGCCCTTAGATGACCTCTGTGGTAAATATCCCCCTAGAATTAACGTAATGGGCGGTATGGCAACTGTTTAGTTTTACTGTACCTTCCAAAGTGACCCTAAGGAGATTCGGTGTAACTTCTCCCATTTATATTGTTCGGAATGCAGTTAACTACGAGGATGAAGCTTTTTCTGTTTTCCCGGATGACGACATCACAGGCAAGACAGTTTTCATAGGATCACCTACCGAGAGGCCGGTCAGCGCTTAAGAAACTTTAATGTACATAGTAGATGTAGACGGAAACGCAAAATTTTCTCTGTCCATGGAATTCTTCACTCGCAAAAGTACTGCGTGTTTTCAGGCGACAGTGGAGTCCGTCGAGTTCCAAGGCGTCCTTCAAATACCTGAATACCTTGTTGCTTTCAATGTCATCAATCAGATGCCCGAAAAAATTATTCGTATGGTTTATAGTCATCAAAGCTTCCAAAAATAAAACACCTGTTGAAAACGTGGACACTCCGTACCTCCCCTTAAAGACCTTCTCTAGGTCCAACCGCTTGAGTGTGCTCCAGCCTGCAATGAGGCAATACCGATGCATCCAATGGAACCTGCAACCCCTATGGTCATTCTTCTCACTTCCCCGACCACGTAGCCGTTTGGTCTTCTGAGTCTCTCAGTTAAGTATATCTGTGCGGTTTGGGGGGTGCCTTTCACTGGGTCAGTCAGACTGGAGATTTTTTCAGCCTAGTTGTTTGGGCGTATGAAATGGGAGCCATCTCGCGGCCGCGTATTTTGTATGCATCCACGGTAAAACTCCGTTTTTAGTGCTTGTGTCTTCTGGTGGTACAGTAAGGTCTTTTGTGTGGCCCTCCAATCGTATTAACCGCAATAGCTGTGTATTAAACTGGCGAGATGATGACGTGTCACTCTCGATCAGCTGTCAGACATTGTGCGTGATTCTTACGCAGGTTCTTCGTCTGTCCTGAAGCCAGTTCTTTTTTCTGCGACCACTTGGAGTGCTGATGATAGCGCCCCTGTTTTAACTTATAGCCCAGAGTAACACAGCCGAAGCCCTTCAGCTTCGAATCACGAGACAAGGCCCTTCTTGCCTCCAGACAGCAGCGCGTGGCAGCTGCGACCGAGGCACGAGTCAGATTGGCCAACAGTTTCCGTGCCCAACCAATGCCCGTCGGTCCGCCGGACCCCCTGCCCCCTCCTCGCCCGACCTCGATCACCGCCGCCGCCTCACCGCACCTTCAGACGCGAAAGCGCGCGGTGCAGAGACGCGCCTTCGATGACCTGCTCGCGGCTAAGCGGGCCTCCTTGGACAGAAAACTGGAGGCACTGAGGAAGGAGAGGGAGGAGCGTGAGAATGAGGAAATTAAGGAGCTGCGACGCGGTTTAGTGCACAAGCCGGAACCTATACGTTCCTTTAAGCCACTTGAACCGGCTCCCCGTAGGCCCCTCACCCGCCTTCAAAGTGCTAACCTCACTGTCTCCGGCAGATAAGAGCTCCAACCTCTCTTGTCTTGCATACTTTTTCATTGTACTCTTTTATTCCAAGTGTCTTCTGTGTCTCTTCTTCTTGTATTTGTTTACTTACCCCTTGGGTGCACTGTGCATGGGGCTCCGTGTAAGACGCTAACGGCGTGTATTTGCGCTCCTAACCACGGGAGCCGCATCTGAACTTGTCGCGATATTTTGATTGCTGAAGAAAACCACGTTTGCATAACATCCGACCGGTCTGCTATCTGCTGCATGCAGCGGTCCTGGCATCTGTGGGAATTTCCTTGACGGCCTGGCTCCGGCATCTGTGAGTCCGAATGTGCGTCGGTATTTTGTGATAGTACTCTTACTGTCCAGCGGTTGCCAGGGGTGTAGTTGGTTACCCAGGGCGACGATTCATGGGGTCGTGGGATAACCGGCCGATGAAAATTCAAGAAGCAGTCTGTTCAAAGTCTCAACCTCACTGACAGGAGTTTGGTGTCGCGGAGTTCCCTTTTTGGAAGATTTGACTCCGTCGATAGGAGCGACGGCGCTAGACTTCCTCTCAGGAAGAGTTTGACTCGGAAATTAGAAATGCAAGTGACCACGCAAGTGAACTTACAATGGCACTCATCATAACTGATTCGGCCGCTCCCATGCTATCGGTTAACGGCGTCTGGAATAATTTCCTGCCATTGCAATCGGTTGGCCGCACACTCCCGGAAGAAAGTTGGCCAGTTTGCAGCTGGCGACATCGACACCGTTGCCAGCTGTGGACCGTGTTCAGATGAGATAAGATCCTGAAGGATTTTGCCTGCAGTTCGGCTTGGTAAGTGGCCGAACCACTTCATTTGGCAGCTACGGAAAGCCCACTTGACGGGTCGTTCGTCTAAGACGCGGTCCAATTGGTCATTCGAAATATGTACCATCGTCGAACGGATCTACTTATGGTCCGATGGTCCGTTCCGTCCTTACCCATTTAACAGAAAGTCCTGCATGAGTTAGCGGAAGTCGTTCACCAGGCTGTCCAGACGGGCGTCTCCAACAGAAGAGACGCGACTATTTTCTGCGTACAGGATTTTATCTGCATGCTCAATTTGACCGCCTTTACATTTGCCGTACAGTTCGACCGTCGATACACCATGTGCTCCTTAGCAGGGCGGGTGCAGGGACAGCAACTTGTGCGTGAATCAGTTTATGGTGACAGTAGACTTGCGCTGCATCTACCACTCTCTTCCCCTCACCCACCTGGGCTCGGTGTAAAGACAAAGTCAAGAAGACCGGAGGCGGGATTGGACGCGGTGGCTGACAGCCAAACAGCTCGTACCTGCGTGCCACACGCCCCTGATCCGTGCATAACGGACCGGATTTCCAGACAACAAGAATAGGGCGGCGGCTAGGACCCAAAATGAATGGGAGTGACATAAAGGCCACATTAAGAGGGAACCGTTGCAGCCTGACTCTCCTTCCTGAGAAGACAATCGAGTTGTTCCGCCAGTCGGCAGCCTCCCAAGCCACGGCTTTTAACGCATTGTGATAGTTCCACAGCGCATCAGATTGCTTAAGTCGGGAATATGCGCTCACAGGCGCCAGTCCACTGCCCGAGCCGGCCAGTCAACCGATGGCGTAGTGACTTACAGCTGGATAGTGCGTCTGCGCATGCCACAGATGACTGGACCCTCTACACAACACCTGATTTGGCAACGATGGGGAGGAGGCCCCCAAACACACGACAGTTCGACCATCGATTTCGATTATGTCCACCGTGTGCCCCACAGACTGCATTGTGGGAGCAGGGACGGTGACTTACGCAGGGGTTTATAGTGCCAGTAGACTTGCGTAGCATCTACCTACACTTTCTCCTCCCCCGCCTGAGCCGGGTGTCAAGACCAAGTCAAGAAGACCGGAGACGGGGGAGGCCGCAGGTGGATGGCTCGGACGGATTCTCGCCTTGGCGCTCCACTCCACACCCCCTGGTCCACACACAAATGACCAGGATTTTGACCACAAAACAATGGGATGGTGGCAGTGGTCCAGTTGTGCGACGAATGCCGACAACATGGTCCGCCAGCGCACACGACCAGTCAAAGGTGCCTGTCTTACGGGAAATGCGGTGATAGGGATTTTATGGGGGGGGGGTCTATATATGCATAGATGAATGGCAAAATAAGTATAGATAATTAGTGGATTTGTTTTTCGGTTAGAAAGTTTTGATGCATTGACATGTATCAACCGAAATTAAGCAGGACAATTGGAATTAATAAACATGAAGTGTCTGCAACGATCGCTTCTCAACTCTCTGAGCTGAATTCATTGTAGATAATGCATCAGACCGTCTACAACAGACGACCGAACCTTGTACGATGAAACACCAGACCGAAATAATCGTGTCGGACCTAAATCCACTTAAATAAGTACGCATTGTCTGCATGCCACATATGCTTGGGGGCCTTAAACCGATCCTTACCCGTACTCGGAGGATCGAGCCCAAGTACTACTGATCGAATGCATCTAGGTGGGTGGGCTTTTATGGGCGCATAGATCGTGTCGCACGTCCACACAGAGGACGGAGATTCCGAACGCTCGCAGAGTTGTCTTCCGATTGGCCACACGCAAATTCTAGAGTTCCGACGGAAGCCGTGGTCCTGGACGATCCGATGACTAATTGCACACTTGACCTCGCGACGGGAGATTCGACCTATGGCAATAGAAACGGTACACCGATCCACAAGTTTCGCTGTTCACCGTGATCCGACTGATATCTCTGATCGCAAAACCTTGGGCAATCGTCTTTTTCGCACTTACATGAACCGCAGCAGATTGAACCTTCGCAAGGGAACCTACCATCGCTGCAATGTCAACAGCGCCGTCAAGATTCATAATGCGAAATCAACCACCTATTGTACCATCAGGTTGATTTTGTAGCGCGTGTTGGTTAACTCAATCTGTTATGTGGTATAACAGAGTTGGTAAGGGGATGCGCCCTCCACGTGCTTCTTCGTTCTTCCTCAACGGTCTTGAGCTGTGAAGAAGGAGACACGGTCGCTGGGACAAAAGGTTTATTCGTCTGACGTTTCGGATTCTTGCTCGAACCCATCATCACGAAAAGTTGTATTTACCAGCGCACTTGGGCGTCGGGATGTCCGCACGGAGGGCAGTGGTTGAAGGGGCTGCGCCGTTCGGACTCAGAAATTGGACAAAATGTTCCTCCTACCTGAGAGTTGCGTTCGACCTCGACACGCTCAGTGCAGATTTGTTACCTCGGCATAGACAGCTGCCTCATGTTCCAAGTCCGGTTCCGACTGATGGCATCATCACTAGCTAAAGAATTTTTGGAGCCTAGGACAGTTTTTCTCCAGAGTTAATCATGTTGGCGCTGAGCAGAGCACGTGATCGCAGGACACAGGTTTCTGAATCCACACGACCCCGAAGGTGGACACCTGTTGCACTCTCAGACAGTCGAGTCATTTCACCGGGGTTTAACAGTTACGAAGATGTCTACGTTCATCCTCACTTCCTGTGGGGTACGCTGGAGAGTGTGCTTCGACTAACGCCAGTTGCCTACTATTGAAGAGATCGGAAAGGTGGCCTTCGGACGCGCCAGTATGGAGAGGTCGTTGAGGAGATGAGCATGTGACTTTGGCGTCATTCTTTGGACATGCATAAAAGCTAGACAGTAGGGACCAGATAGAATTGGGTGGCTCACATTCCGTTTGGGGTACAGTACGTGGGTCCGTGGCCTTGAAGGGTTAGGCTGATTAACCCGAATGTTTATTGACCAGCGGATCCCGTTTTAACATCTCAGGTCTGCTGGTCTGGGTGGTGACGACATGCGATTCGTAGTTGGTAGTTTGGACCCGAGGACAAATTAATGGACGTTATTCCTATGCGATGCTTGACATTCCTAGTGTGTTTCGCCTCTGAATGGGTTGACAGTCTCAAGGTCACTCACTAGCTGGTGACACCTCAGTGACAGAGTGATTGGTTGATCCTCTCTCGTGAACGAATGTCCTGCGCCACGCTTTCTTTGTGAGGCTGGAGACAGCGTTCAACTAAAACTAATTATTATGAAGACTTACTGGCTAATCCTATATCCTCTGATAAGACGGAGTTTATCCAGTCCATTTAATACATAACAGTAAGTGCTCAACAAATTTGCAGAGACGTTTTGGAAAGAAGCGCGAACTTTGATTCCCAACCCCCTGGTCGGTATTCCTCGTTCTCTATTTACCCCATTTACTTTGTACAGGGACAAAAGACCAAGTTTACAGGAAAGCGGGGCATACTTTGGAAGTGCAGATGGGCTCCTCAACCGGGCGTTTGATGGTCTTGCTGGAGGAGCAGAGAAGAGGTTTTTATATTTGCAGAAAATTAGGGTCACTGCGATTTGGGCTATCTCCACGGAAAGTGAGGACTAGCGTCCTGACTCTAGTAGTCAGCCGATGGGCTAAGACTGGACTCAGTTCAGTAGCTCCTACGCCTCAGACACTGAAATCGCACAAGCCCGAATTTTATCGATTTTTTGATTATTTGATGGTTTTTTTTGACGGCCGACGGATTTTCCACACATTCCCACCAAGCAACGACTTCGTCCACGGTTCCTTCGTCGTTTAGTTTTTGAAAACAAGAAAGTCACCACAACCAGGCTTACTTGCTGTTCTCGTTGAAATGACGCACGGAAGCACTGTCGATGAAGTTTTCAACCTACAGCGCATGATTCTCTCTCTACTGTTCAAAGTACAACCAGATTGCACGTTTGCCAAAGAGTTTTAAATTAGACAGAAAATAATAAACTTTGGAGAACTCATTCCGGCGGATTTAGCAGTTCACGAAGGTGGGTTTAGGGCAGAGCATACAAGGCCGAACAGGCGGTTTTCAGCGACCATTATTTGACGAATTAGAGGCAAGTATTTATTTAGCCAGCTGTTGACCACGATAACGAACCGTCTACTCAAGTTGTGTCTGCATGCGGAAGATGGGATTTCGCAACCCACTTGCTGTGCCGGTGACCTCTTGTAGATCGG